CTTTTTATGCTCAAATGCATTATCTTTTTCTCATCTTTATTTGCATATTCTGACTTGTTATGGTGGAATGGCTTATTATCATGTTTCTTACTTACTGAGGTTGTTCATAAATCAGACCAAAAGAAAATCTGTGGCTTGTTGTTCTCTACTCTGCATTACTGTGGAGGATGTTTCACCTTTTGTTAGGTATATTGGTCAGGTGTCAGCTGTACACTCCAAAACTTACTTGCTTGGTCACGTTCATGCTTATCAGATGCCATTCTCTTTTTATAAGTTTCAAGTGAGAAGGATCTTGGAATGGTTGTAGATCACAAGTGGAATAAAAACTAAAAATGCGATGTGGCTGCAAAAAAGGCAATTGCTATTTTAGGCCACATTAACAGAAGTATAGTTTCCAAATCCCATGAAATACTAGTTCCCCTCCCCAGGTTAGATCTCATCCAGAGTATGGTGTCCAGTTCTGGACAGCAACTTTAAGAGGGATGCCAACAAACTGGAATAATTTCAGAGAAGAGCAACAAGGATGATCAGGGGACTGGAAACAAATCCCTATGAACATGGTTCCCTCTAAGGTATGTACCTCTTTGCCTTCCTCAGTGCATCCTTCCTCCACCTTTGTGTACTGACAGCGATAGTTTGCAGCCCCTTTGATTCCAGTCATGATGGAACCCCTCGGGGGGGGGGTTGCATGCATGAAGGCAAAACCCCACCCATCAGAACTGAAAATTAGAGGGAATGCTGCTTATGAAGAAATACCCAGTGTTTAGGGAAGCTGCTTTAAATATTTTAAAATACTATATAAGACTTGCAATTTCTGATAAGTTTATGGGGACTAATTGAGTAAAAGTTATATCTTACCTTTTCCACCTCTTATGATGCCACAATATAAAAGGTCATGTATTGACCACTAACAGTGAAGATTACTTGCTCTTTAACTAGAGATAGGCACAATGCACTTCATCACGGTTTGTGTAGATTCATATGCGTGGCACCACAGATGGCGTGCATTTCCCCCACTCACAATCTGGTGCATGCTACCTGGGCTCTCTACTGCCGACTGTGCAGTCCAGGCAGGACCTTGGGCTTCCCTTCCCCACTTCTTCCAGCAGCCAACCACTCAGTTAAGGAGATAGAGTGGGGATTCTTGCTGCTGTTGAGTGGTCAGCTGCCAGAGGAGGCGGAGAAGGGAAGCCCAAACTCTTGCCTGGACAGCTGCCAGCGAAGGAGAACCTGGATGGTGATTGCCAGACTGTGAGTGGGGCAGCTGGCTGGAGGGTTGGAGGAAGGAATGCATGGAGTGCAATGAAGTGTTTCATGCCTATCTCTTCCCTTGACTTTTGGCATATAAAGTTCCCTAACCATACACCATTTGGGAGCAACATTGTCCTTTAATTCCTTTGAGATTTGTGGAACAACATGCTTTGTACTGTTTGAATTCTAGCTTTCAAAGAAATTAATAATCCGGATGTGGCTCACATATGACTGTTCAAAAGTATTTTATTTGGCAGGTTCTTTTATCTTTTTGCCATCTGACACTGAGTTCATTCTCGAGCAAATGCAGTTATGGTAATCTAGATTTTGCAATAATCATCGAAGAAAATAAGACTCATATCCATTACAACGATGCATCTGAATGGAATTATTTCAGTATCTTTAGATTATTAACTGGCCCCAGCAATTTATTTTAAACAGAAACAGAATATGCCAAAAAACAAAAACTAGAAGTGTATCGGGAGGGGATAGATTTTGTTTTGGGAAGTTTGTAATGGAAAATATGGAGCTTGTGTGTAGGATACTAGATAGAAAGGCCCCAGTGATTAACAGCGCTTTTGAGTAATATGTAAGCTGTTGCCACTATTGTAACTCGTCATTTTAATAACATTTTAATATCAATATTAGCTATACATACAGGCTATACAACCAGTTTTGCCAAACCAACTTTGAAAAACAGGTTTAATAGCAGTTTAATAGTAAATTATTTCCTTACCATGGTTGTATTATTTGTCAGAATAAAGAGTGGATTATCATTTGTGGTGAAGAGAATGAGCCTAATCAGGCCTTTGCATGTCCCCCATCCATCAAAAAGGAGATCAAAAGTTTTTGCTTCCTTTTTTGTCTGTTAGAATTTAGTGTCACTTATTGATCTTAACTGAACTGTTTGAATCAAACCAGATTTTTAAACCATGATTTGTAGCCTAGTTACAAACAAAGTATAGTTAAGATTCACCACAGTTTATTGGGGTTGGATGGCTAGAAAAGCAGCAGATAACAAAAAATGAAAGCAAATGCTTTTAGTTATCCTTCTCTAAGCTCACTGTAGTGTTATGCCTGAACTGTTTTCTCCTCTCCATTGCTTTGAAAATAATAGTGAGAAAGGTGACTTTTAGACTTTCTAAGTTGAGTAGTTCCTAGTTGGATCATAGCATTAGGCTAATTATTAGGAAGCTATGGAAGTGGCTGTGTACATTTAGATTGGAAAAAGAACTGGAGTAATCATGCCGTTACATTTGTTGTATTTCTGTGAATAACTAAGTGCTTGCCTCCTATTGGATTTTGATATCTTGTTCCATTTTTCTTCCCTACCATTTTATTCTCATTTCATCAGTTTGGCTATGTTCATCATAGTCCCACAGGTATCTTTATGTAAATGTAAGGATGTTTTTGAATCTATGCAGAAATCTTTTGCTTTTGCAAGATAGTTTCTTAAGAAGGAATAACAAGTTGTATAGTTGCTGTGTAATGTTTCCTTCTGTGTTCAGAACTGAGACCCGGATGTATCTGTTTATCACTGTTATGTGCCAGTCCCTGTTTTGATCAAAAATAGAGATGGGCACAAACCTTGGTTTGGAGGTCTGGCCCAATTTGTCACTGTGCTCACACAGATGTTGTGCAGGCACGGCATCCTCCCCTGCACACTTGCCCAATCCTTGGGCAATGTGCGCTTCCCTCCCCATCTCCTCAGTGCAACTACCCACTCACCTTTTGCAGCATCCTCTTCCCTCTTCCATCTTCTCCATCAGCTGTCCACTCAAAGGCAGCACTGGAGGAATTTCGTCCCTGCATCCTTGTCTGAGTGGGTGGTTAACGGAGGAGGCGGAAGAGGAACGAGCATTCTGCAAAAGGTGAGTGGGTAGTCCCGCTGGGGAGGCAAGGAGGGAAGCACCCGTCGCCCAAGGAATGGGTGAGTGTGCAGGGGAAGGGGGAGGGCACTGTGCCTGCACAACACCTTTGTGAGCATGGTGACGAATTGGGCCAGACCTCTGAACTGAGGTTTGTCCCCATCTCTAATCAACAATTTTCCTGTCTGTCATTTCTTCCTTCAAATTCTATAAATTGCTTATGTATACTAAGGTGAGAATGTGATCTGTCAAAATGTGCACATATCTTTACACATGCAGAACCAAACAGATGATTTTGCCCATTAAGTAAAAAAGGTCTTATCATACATAGCATCTCAACCTCATTCTGTGGGACTTAAACTGATTCTCAGAAATCGTCACTGTGCTTGGAGCTGGTCAGATGTAGAAATGGAAGGTAAAGAACTGGTAGCATACAGTAGGACCCCCCTATCCACAGGATCTGTATTCACTGGTTTATTTATACATGGTCTGAAAATATAAAAATATATATTTTTTCTAAATCCAGAAAATTGATTTTCACATCTATTAGCAGAACCAACATTAGAAGGAGCCAGAGACCATGCTAGGAATACTGTGTTTCCCTGAAAGTAAGACAGGGTCTTATATTAATTCTTGCTTCAAAAAAGCATTAGGGCTTATTTTCAGGGGATGTTTTTTTTTTATGTACAACAATCTACATTTATTCAAATACAGTCATGTCATTTTCTTCTGGTTGCTGCACAGTGGTGGAGGGCGGGGTTTCACTTAACTGGGGCTTATTTTTGGGGTAGGGCTTATATTACGAGCATCCTGAAAAATCATATTAGGGTTTATTTTCAGATTAGGTCTTATTTTCGGAAAACCAGGGTGCTTGTTAGTGAAGAATACATAGCATGGTCTCTAGTAGCCTGTTCTGGTAATACATGTGAAAATACTCTTTTTTCTGGTTTTTCCCCTTTTACCTAGTTATATATATAATGTTCGCTCTTACCCTGTTTCCTTGTAAATAAGACATAATCTGAAAATAAGCCCTCGTATGATTTTTCAGGATGCTCGTAATATAAGCCCCACCCCCCCAAAATAAGCCCCAGTTAAGTGAAACCTTGCCCTCCACCATTGTGCAGCAACCAGAAGAAAATGACATGACTGTAAAATAAAATATCCCCTGAAATTAAGCCCTAATGTGTTTTTTTGGAGCAAAAATTAATATAAGACCCTGTCTTATTTTCATGGAAAAACTGTATTTACAGTTTTCAGTATCTGTGAGGAGGCTTGGAACCAATTCCCAGCAGATATGGGTGTCCGGCTGTATTTTGCCAGAATGTTCATGGTGTTTTATTGGAATTCAAAAGTCTGGACAGTACATGAATGTGGTGTTTTGATGGAACAGTATTATTCTGTGCTGGTAGTCTTCTGTGTACTTTTATGGTAACTCAGATGCGTATCATCTGTTACTGAAATTGTCATGGCTATCTACTATTGACATATTTTGCATCATAATAAGGGTTTTTGCTTTGATTGCTTGAAACCAAAACTGTTCTCTTACGTGTGAGAGCTCAAAAATAATTAGAGATACTAGGATGTTCTTCTGGGTTCATTGGTGAAATGGCAATTAAATATGCAAAAATAAAGTTATATAGACTTGTATTCGCGAAGGCTTTCACGGCCGGGATCTAATGGTTGTTGTGGGTTTTCCGGGCTCTTTGTGCTGTCCTCTGAAGATGCCGGCCACAGAGACTGGTGAAACGTTAGGAAGAACAACCTTCAGAACACGGCCAAAGAGCCCGGAAAACCCACAACAACCATTATATAGACTTATTTATATGTGCGTTTATATGTCAATCATTTTATTGATATGAAACATTTATGCTTGTTTTGTAGGTTTACAGTAGGACAATTAACGTGACCATGGGAGATATGAAGACTCCAGACTTTGATGACCTTCTTGCGGCCTTTGACATCCCAGATATGGTTGACCCTAAAGCTGCTATTGAGTCTGGGCATGATGATCATGAAAGCCACATAAAACAGAACGTGCATCCTGATGATGATTCTCACGCACCATCATCATCTGATGTTGGTGTAAGTGTTATTGTGAAAAATGTGAGGACAATCGATTCTTCTGAAGGAACAGAGAAGGAGGGCCACCATTCCGCTGGCAACGGCTTGCATAATGGGTTTTTAACTGTGTCAGCTCTAGAAAGTTATAATAAGGAGGAGGGGAAATCTCTCAAAGATGAGGGCTCCATTTCTGATACTGCACTCAAAGAGTCAGCCTTCAACCAGTTTAGCCCTATCTCGAGTGCTGAGGAATTTGATGATGATGAAAAAATTGAGGTTGATGATCCCCCAGACAAAGAAGACCTGCGAGGAAACTTCAGAGCTAATGTATTAACAGGGTCTGTCTCCCAGCCAGACTATGAGAAGTTAAAGGGACTTGGAGGAGATAACCTAATAAAACCTGGAGCTGCTGGTCAAGGTAACGCTGATAAAAACAAGGTTGTCAAAAGAGACTCAGAGACAAGCTCAACATCCTTAGGCATGTATGAACCTTTCAAAGCAAGGAAGCTAGATGATAAGTTGCTTAAAGAAAATCCTGAAAAATTACTTGAAAATAGAGCAATGGATGGGAAAGTAGGCACGGAGAAAGGAGATACGAATCTTACCAGTGTTTCACAATCTAAAGCAAAGTCATCAGCAAAACTGTCCTCATGTATTGCTGCAATTGCAGCACTTAGTGCTAAAAAAGCAGCAACGGACATCACTAAAGATCCACAGTCTAATTCAAGGGAACCTTCTCCCTTGCCGAAAGATACAAGTGAAAGCCCCAGGGCCATTGACAAGTCACCCGAATCTCAGAGTCTTATTGACTGTGCCAAAAAAACCTCCGTTAAGCAGCCTGATAGTCCCAGGAGTGTGTCGAGTGAGAACAGTAGCAAAGGGTCCCCACCATCACCTGCAGGATCAACACCAGCAATTCCAAAAGTCCGCATAAAAACTATCAAGACGTCATCTGGAGAAATCAAGCGAACAGTTACAAGAGTGTTGCCAGAGATTGATCTGGACGGTGGTAGGAAACCAGAGCAAACGGCTTCCATGATGGCTTCTATGACATCATTGCTGTCGTCACCTACTTCTGCTGCAGTCCTTTCTTCTCCTCCAAGGGCTCCACTTCCGTCAACAGTTGTCACCAATGCTGTTGCTTCTGCAGAGCTTGCTCCGAAACAAGTTACTATTAAGCCCGTAGCTACTGCTTTTTTACCCGTATCGGCCGTTAAGACAGCAGGATCCCAGGTTATCAACCTGAAGCTTGCTAATAACACCACAGTGAAAGCCACAGTCATTTCTGCTGCGTCGGTGCAGAGTGCCAGCAGTGCCATTATCAAAGCCGCCAACGCTATACAACAGCAGACTGTTGTGGTGCCAGCATCAAGCCTTGCTAGTGCAAAACTTGTGCCAAAGACTGTCCATCTTGCCAACCTTAATCTACTGCCTCAAAGTGCTCAGACCACCTCTGAACTCCGCCAAGTGCTCACAAAACCTCAGCAACAGATCAAGCAGGCAATAATTTCTGCTGCAGCAGCGTCACAGCCTTCAAAGAAAGTATCCAGAGTCCAGGTGGTGTCGTCTTTACAGAGCTCTGTAGTTGAAGCATTCAACAAGGTGCTGAGCAGTGTTAACCCGGTCCCAGTTTACATCCCAAACCTCAGTCCTCCTGCGAATGCGGGTATCACCGTGCCCACACGCGGTTATAAGTGTTTGGAATGTGGTGACTCCTTTGCCCTTGAAAAGAGTCTTACACAACACTATGATAGGAGGAGTGTGCGGATTGAAGTCACCTGCAACCACTGCACAAAGAATCTTGTTTTCTATAACAAGTGCAGCCTTCTTTCTCATGCTCGTGGACATAAAGAAAAGGGAGTGGTCATGCAGTGTTCCCACTTGATTCTGAAACCAGTTCCAACAGATCAAATGATAGCTTCTCCTACAAGCAGTGCTTCTGTTGCATCATCCATTCTCCAAAGCCCTGTTGGAGTGGGTACCCACACTGTAGCAAAAATTCAGTCTGGCATAACTGGGACGGTCATATCAGCTCCTGCAAGTACTCCCGTTCCTCCCGCTATGCCTCTAGACGAAGACTCTTCAAAGCTATGCAGGCATAGCCTGAAGTGTTTGGAGTGCAATGAGGTTTTCCAAGATGAGACATCTTTAGCAACACATTTCCAGCAGGCTGCTGACTCAAGTGGACAAGTACAGTATCTTACCTTTACATTCCGATCTTTTTGCACTATAATTAGGATTTTTCCTTGTTTATTATAACTTTAATTTTTTTTAGTTGTGACTTGTTTTAGAAAAGAAAAGTGCCTTCGAACTGGTAAAGTATTTTAAAAATAAAGGGGGTGGGGTCATTTGGAAGCATGTTGCTCCTTTAAAGAGCTATACAATAAATAAAAGACCCATACAAAGGAATTTAAGATCTGAGTCAGTGTAAGGCAGTTTGCTATAGAATATTCATGCACAAGGAACATACACAGATGCAGTGACATTTTTTGGACTGTGAACTGAATATACCCTGCTGCAACTAGCAGATATATCTGAAAGGAAGAGTTCTCTCTTTTTTTGGACTTGTAAGGCACAGTTGTGCCCTAAGTCTTCTGCTGCTGCTGGTCACAAGTGGGAGGATGCTGTTGCACTCATGTTCAAGTAATAACGGGCGTCTCCCAGGCATCCCGTTGGCCACTGTGTGAACACAGTGTTTGCTAGATTAGACAGGCTTTTGGCCCAATCTGGTGGAGTTCTATTATTCCGAAGGCCTTAACATGAGACTGATGGTAATGTCATCAGCATGTGCAATTGAATTGGGCCATCAGAGGTATTTGAATATATGTTGGAGGAGGCAGGATCCCACTTGGGCAGAGGTCTGTGTCAAAATAGATCTTATAGGTGAGGACACTCGAGACCAGATGTCAGAACATTTGAGTTTGGAGAAGTCATATATCTATATTAAAAAGTCTGGTTCTGTGACTAAAAAGGTTTATATCAGGCTGAACCAAAGTGAAATTAAAGTTTAGATTTTATAATACCTTAGAATGATTTTGTGATGTGTTTTGCTAGAGCTGTCAGTTCATTTACAGTGGTGCCCCACATAGCGAGGCTAATCCGTTCTGGATTAACCTTCGCTATGGGAAAACATCGTAAAACGGATCAAAAACCCCAATTGGAATGCATTAAACAAAGTTTAATGTGTTCCAAATGGGCCCAAAACTCACCGTTCTCCGATGTTTTCCCTTGTTCCGGTGGCCATCTTGGGTGTACCGGTGGCCATTTTGAGCGTCCCGGTGGCCATTTTGGGTGTACCAGTGCCCTTTTTTGTGTTCTGGCGGCCATCTTGGGTGTACCAGTGGCCTTTTTTTGTTCCGGCGGCCATCTTGGGTGTGCCAGCGGCCATTTTTTTTGTTCCGGAGGCCATCTTGAGTGTACCGGCACCCATTTTTTGTGTTCCGGTGGCCATTTTGGAGCCGCAGAACAGCTGTTCCCCCATTGTAATGCGAGCGTGCCCTCGCATTAGCGATGGGGAAATCCGCATCGCAATGCGGATTCATCGTTCAACGGTGCACTCGTTATACAAGGCACCACTGTATTGAGTTATTTTATTTATGCCCCATCTTTCTTTCAATGAAGATGATCTCATTTGCCTAAGGTAGAGCATTAGAATATGTTCCACACACCCTGCATGATGTTCCTCTCCATATTAGTGTATTTAGTTATCCAGTGCACTGCTTCTTCCTATCACCCATCTGGGTCCCAAAATTGTGTGGCACCTTAAAGAAAACAAAACCTGTCAACATTATGCAGTGGCCCACCAGTTATTTGACATACTCTGTGTTCTTGCAGCCTTCCTGTGACTACAAAATTGGGTGTGTGTTACACATTTCCTGATGGGCCGCACTGTATCATTGGTACAATTAATAAACCTAGTCGGTCAAGTACAGTATTCTGCAGATCTCTGTTGTTCATTTCAGACAAGCTTTATTGATAGTACATATTATTGGAAGGATGGAACGTCCATGGTTGTTTGACTAGGCACCTATAATGGCATATTCTGAACATAGATCTAAATAATCAAGGAGAAAGGAGAGGTGGCCAAAAATATAGAATGAACTACTAAATGTACAACAACCCTGTAAAATCTACTTCAGTGTTACACCAGAATGGAAATGGTACAGTAGAGGAAGGATGTCTGATCCCTCGTTGAGACCTTTAGGTTGCTCCTTCATACTTTGCTTTATTTTTTTTACAATGATTTACCTCAAATGTGATCTATTTGCACATTATCAACTCTTGTTGTGCGCTAACATCCAACAGTGGAACTAATTTGGTTAGGAGTCTTTTCATTATTCGTCACTTTATTGACACAGTTATGATACTTTATTACAGCTTCAGTTACAGTTTCTGTATAAAGTTCCCTCATCATTTTGGGTATTTCTCTTTTGAACTTTGTTAATGTGTGAATTACTGTGAAGACATGCTTGTGGTTTGCAGACCTCCACAAGCAGAAGTCGAACAAGGTAATGAATGACTCTCATTTCTGCTCTAGTGCCGGGTTCAGTGCTTAACTGAACCTGGCACTACATGGAATATAATTGGATTAGTTTTCTATCCCTTCCCAGTATGGACTTCGTTTTAGTGACTGGAATCCTGTTGCTTTGTTTAAGAGGTGGTAGAATAGAACCACTGAATCACTGGGGGTTTAATAAGTGAATTCTCTGTAGGTCCCATTGATTCAAATGGGCCTATTCTCATTGAGACTTACTATGAACAAATTATAGCTAGACTAGGTCCTTTTGAATCAATGGAACTTACAGAGGATTCGATTCACTAAATCACTACTGATTCAGTGGACCTACTGTAGTGTGATTTACTACACTAAGCAGCAAGATTTCAACCAATATATCTACAGTAATCACAAAGATATAAACAAGGCATTAAAGTACTGTAAATTCGAAATATGTATTCATACAAGGAAACATAGCTTGTAATGTGTTTACTAAAAGAATGCAAAAATAATGATGTAAAACAGAGATAGGGTATTACATGCTGGACAAAATCCTGTTGCATAGTTACCTATCAAAATGATGTACACCTGAAATTCTTAGGATAGTTTGTTAATTGGCAGCAAAAAGGGTTTACTAAAAGAATGCAAAAATAATGATGGAAAACAGAGATATAGGGTATTACATGTTGGACAAAATCCTGTTGCATAGTTACCCATCAAACTGATGTACACCTGAAATTCTTAGGGTAGTTTGTTAATTGGCAGCAAAAAGCCACTGCAAGTTACATTGTTTGCTTTCCAGAGGCTTAACTCAGTAGGATTTTGGCCCTCATCTAATTCCTTTCACTGTGCTATGATATCATGGAATGTTCACAGATGTTCAAACTTCTCACATCAAATTGAGTACAAGGGTCCTAAGAGCAGAGAATAGGTTTTATTACTTGACATATGGAATATAAGTTAAATAATGTAGAGTGTTTCCTAGGTTTGTTTCCATCCCTTGCTATTGCAGGGTGAAATGAAACAGTTTTGTTAGTACCAGAGCCTCAATGTGTATTGTTGTGATTGTTTATAATAATTGTATTCAAAAATTTTCTCCAGCATAGCTTATACTATACAATTGCTAACTGCAGAGTGCAGCAGTCTGTTGCTAGGGGAAAAACAGCTTTAGGAACAGAAAATTCAGGGCATGTACTTTTTTAGAGCTTGGTTGGATTAATTCCAATCTTGGAAATTTTGTGGAGTTGACTTTTGTAGCTGAATATAATCTGAAACGTAGTCTCTTATATGCAATAAAATTTTCCCAGCATTTCCCTATCTAAATCATGAAGAAATGTCTAAATCTTGGTGTTCGTTATTGTCTCTTAAAAGCGGCATGGTTATTCTTGACTTTTTGTAACTTGGACTGTAGTTTCTTCTCAATACACATATTTTCTTCCCTTCCTCCATCTGAGTAGGGGAAAGCTTAGGAGCTCTACTGGTGAGTCCAAAGAAATGAGCAAAGCTCTGATGCAGTGGTACCCCAACCTACAGATTCCTCAGCTGGTACTGGGTATTTTTTGTAAAGTACAGTAGGACTACAGTATCCACAGATACCAGTTTCAAGACCCCACCCCAGAAATGCCAAAAACTCAGAACTAGCCAAAGCAATACATAATACCATCTTAGGCTCCCTCTAGTGGCCAGTTCTGGTAAATATGTGTGTGTCTGTTTAGTCGTTTTGTCGTGTCCGACTCTTCGTGACCCCATAGACCAGAGCATGCCAGGCCCTCCTATCTTCCATTGCCTTCCGGAGTTGTGTCAAATTCATGTTGGTTGCTTCGATGACACTGTCCAACCATCTCATCCTCTGTCGTCCCCTTCTCATCTTGCTTTCACACTTTCCTAACATCAGCGTCTTTTCCAAGGAGTCTTCTCTTCTCATGAGATGGCCAAAGGATTGGAGCCTCAGCTTCAGGATCTGTCCTTCCAGAGAGCACTCAGGGTTGATTTCCTTCAGAATGGATAGGTTTGATCTCCTTGCAGTCCAGGGGACTCTCAAGAGCCTCCTCCAGCACCACAATTCAAAAGCATCAATTCCTCGGTGGTCAGCCTTCTTTATGGTCCAGCTCTCACTTCCATACATCACTACTGGAAAAACCATAGCTTTGACTATGCGAACTTTTGTTGGCAAGGTGATGTCTATACATCTATGATGTCTATACATCTATGTCTAAATATACTGGGTGGATTTTTTTTAATTTGATATTTTCAGGCAGCGGATAAGTGAATCTGCAGATCCTGTGGTTAGGGGAATCATACTGCAGTGATTTCACTGCTGCTCTCTTTTTAAGAAATCGGCATGATAAGTTGTTAACAAACCCAGAGACATTCAGGGACATTCAGAAGAGGGAGAATTATTTTACTGGAAGACTTTTATAAGCCACATCTTCCAGAACAACATGTGGTGAATTCATTGAAATTTGTGAAGGTTTGTGAAGAACATGGCTGTTTGGGAATAAGAATGTACAGGTTACAAATTATTATTTTGTTTCAAGACTCACTTCAGATGCTGATAACAGTTGATACCAGGTTTAGAAATTTGAAGGTTATCTTTAAGGATTGTTTTTGGCAGCTTCTAACATTTGCACTGGAGACTGTGCTTTGTGGCCATTATCAGGAAAAAAAATAATTGATGAATATCAGGTGCAGCAGT